ATTATTGGCTCAGACATCAAGAATTATGCTCCACTTGTCTGTCATTGTGATGCTCCTTTATCTTATTATAGTGCATACTATTCTTGTAAGATGGGAATTAATAATAATATTGTCCTGTCACATGTAAAACGTCTCTCTCGATCGGTGCGAAACGTTTTACTCTTATAGGTTTTTTCCCGCTATTAACCTATGATTTCTGTCCATGGCTATCGAAATCAAACTAGAAAATGGCAAAAAACATGATTGCTGAGGCGGAATTCAGCTTTTATGTCATTTTAAGTTCAATATTATTAGTGCTTCAATTTCCTTATACGATATTTTTATTGTTCTCTCTCTGTAGTGTTTTAACCCATTCTACTGCTAAAGGGTTTTCGTATTATAATTCAAAGCCTTATATACATTTTTTAATGGAATTTGCAACACTATCACAGAATTTTTTTTCATCGGACCATTTTATATTTATTTTTGATTTATCTCCACTTTGCGACTCTGTACTTATGATCTTTGAGTAGATAATTTTTGGGACTTTTATATTTTTTATCTAATCTATCTAATCGATATTTCCCTTTTTATTTTTTCGCCTATAACTATATACATAAATAAATATATAATATTATCTAATATACTATTTCGCCTGTATTCTCGACAATAAAAAAATGATTCCTTTTCCACCCTCCAGCTCGGGCAGCCCCTTCTTTTGCTTGTTCGCCTTTACTCTGTTCTACTTTCCCTTGCTCTCCGCTTGCGTCTGGGCTTGCGTTTTCGCCTTCTCGCTGGCTTCTCGCGCTCGCCAATTACTAATCCGCTTGTCAACACTTCTTAAAACCGAACCATGCTGTTATTGTCGCCTCTCACATGGGGATATTGGCTCCACTGCAGTTTGCCAAAGAACAGGTGATCTTCGGCAGTTCAACAAAAAACCGGGAGTCCACCAACTCGAAGTCGGCAGACGTCATGGACTTCCAGTGATCCGCCATTCCCGCCTCAACCGTCCGCTTCGGCCGGCAGGACGGATACGTGTTAGTCGATCTGGTCGGGCACCCTTTCTGAAGCCTCGACGCCGTTGCTATCTCCGACATCGCCTATCTACGATTTCGGCAGTCGCTAATTCAGCTGCTTCCTTCACTACCGCTAGTAGCTCCAGCCCAAAGACAACTGTTTACAAAAGCAACGATTCTCCAACATTTGTCAGCATGAATTCTGCCAATTTGCCTGAATTCAATGCTTTGATTTCTGTTAACAAAGTGTCCGTTGACGGGGATACACATCGTGAGAAATTGGCTGGCTCATCTTCGGTTGGCCTGGTGAACTCTGCTAGAGAAACACATTCTCCTGTTGCTATTCCATCGTCTAGCAGATCATTTGCTAATAATATTTGTCAGTGCGATCCTTCCACTATTGATGCTTCAATTTTAGACTCATTCACCAAATCTTCATCGTTAAATGACCCCTTGAGAAAGTCTAAACTTGCGCTGGAAGCTCGAAAGCCTGGCAGAATTAAGGCGAGACCAGTCAAGAGACCGAGATACAAAGAAGCAGGGCAGTTGTTTTGTGAATCCGGCAGAGGTTAGTCTCCGTTTTTGTTATTTTGTCCCCTAATCATTTCTGCATAATAGCTCAAATTACTGCCATAATTTTCGGACTCACTCTTCAAATCGAGTTGTTGCAAGATTTTGTGTTCATGTGGTAGCGTTTATGTGATAGATTAGTTAAGAGCATATAACTGTAAAGGCTTGTGGGTCAAAAAATCAGAATTGGTTTCGCATATGGCTCAAACATCACCAGATAGAATGGTGTAAAGCCAAAAAGCTTGATAGGATATGAGCATTCTACAGGTAAGCGGAAGATTAGGGGATCTTTATAGACCAACAAATCAGCCAACATTCTGGATAGGCGAGACGAGAGGAAACTACTTGGATTGTTTGATAGGATTATGGAGCGAGAGGTTGAATAAAATGTTTCATTATGTGTACAGTCAGGCTATATGAACTGGGTAAGCATGCGGGCGACTATCTCTCTTGTCTTCGTGCTTGATGCATTATCTTAACACATTATTTGCCTATCACGGAAGGACAGATTTATCGGGATCCCGAAAACTTGCAACTCGGGACCAATACTCCGACTTCCGGTAATTCAATTTACGCATCCGTTTCTTCTAGCCTCTTCAAACGAAATTAAAGGTATCCTAGCACCAATTTGAGAAAATATGCAGTGATTTGCAGGCCCATCTATCACATTAATTATTACATATTAATTAAATGTTAATAAAGCAAAAAATGAAGATACACGAGTTTTATTTATATTTATCTCTTACTTACGAATAGTCATACTTAGGGTAGGGCGTCATGGAAAAATTTATATTGAAAAAGGGCACCGTGACTATGAAAAGTTTGGGAACCACTGTATTAAGAGATTCTTTGAAATCCAATTTTTTTCATCTCTACGACATAAGATATTCATTTGGATAATGAGATTATGATAAATAAAGCGGCTAAGCTTGCGAGGAAAAGGATAGAGTTTCGTAGTTTGCACACATAAAAAAAACTCGGTTACCATTCTCTCACAGGATTGATGTAAAACCTACAGATTCCTCTCTTAACGTTGTCGATTGTAGATCTACTACTAGACGAGGAGGCTCCTTTCAACTTACTGTGTGGAGATGAATGCATCAACCAAACTAGCAGCAATGGCATTACCTTATCTCACGAGCTGCGGCCGTCGCCAAGACCTGTTACCTCTGCCAATCATTACTTCCTATCCTCCCGGCCACTTAAGTGGTTGTCTGGCCGGAATCGAGCCTGTGTTTCTAGCACAACAGATCTCCTCTTTGCTTCACCCAAGACTGATTCTACTAAGCAGCTCATTGACTGGAACAAAGCCTCCTGTGATTGTCGAGTAGACTCGTGTTCGTCCAAATTGATCCACACCCAGTGTTCCTCTTGCCAGCATCCCTTTCTTCGATGGTATGCGGAGAGTAATGTGAGTTGCGTCTATAATTCGTCAGGTTATGAATTCTGGCTGCGGTGATACTTCACTTTTATTCTTATAATCTAAGATTCTTTTGACGATTTTGACGGATCTTTTTGAGGTTGCTCTTAGTTCTTTATCATCCATGATGCAATTACAAATTGTTTGGCCTTGTTTTCGCAACTTGGTCATATTGGCAGGAAGGATTAAAGGAGCGCACCTTGTCCGGAGGCCATAGTATGCATGATACTTTCCGGAGTCGGACCGTGGACTTTGTACATTCCCAGACGTTTCGCTGGGACATGTGCAGTCGGTCATTTGACCAAATGCCCGTTAAGCAGTTATGGTATCTCTCATTCTGTCCTGGGCTATTCACATATCCTATATCCTCGTGTCACTCCATCAATATCACAATTTCTTTCTTGTTTATCTCTTTCACTTCCTATGAAAGTGCGTGAAGTTGGGATTCGTAGGTCGATCTCACCAGAAGATGACTGTTGGATCCCGTTGGATTTTATACGACGTTTTTTTCCGTCTCAGTCTAGGGTCCACCCACCGAAGTAAAGGCATGACTGGGGCTGCGTAATCTCGTACGTCTGGTTTGGATGATCAGCTTAAACTAGCATGTTGGGCGAGTGTGTCTGAAGCTAGAACCATCACTGAGCAGACCATTTGAGTCGCATTCTTTCTTCAATCTATCATTCAAGTATAAATAGTTCCTACTCAACTTTCTACCACCGTTCCTTATATTTAACATATTTCCTAATCTATTAATTTTAATAGCCTCTCTTATATTTCTTTTAACAACGGACGTTCCATAATCAGCAAACCTACTAGTTGGAGATCATTCTATTTAATGTCCATTGGATCCAGCTTCCTTTGCAAGCATTTTTTGTTGCCATAATATTTGTCGAATAGGTCGGCATGTCTTAAAAACTGATATTGCGTATTGACACACAAACACACACTAAAGCAAAATTAGGAGGACCAGTAGGAAAGATAATCAACCAAACCATTCTATATCTATCTAGGTTTTTAATTTTATTTTGCGTAATTGAGTCTATATAAGATGTAGATAGAGCCGTATAGTCTTCTTGCCCTAGTGTTAACTTGGTACTTTTACAAGAATGAGTTCCAGCTCTGATGATGTCCATCATGTGATGGACAAAAGCTCTGTTCGTTTTACCCGAAATGAGGGAGGAGGTCTCGTGGACTGCGTCAACCTGAACTTCATATAAAAGCCAAACGGTATTCAGGCGTTCTCTTCTGCTGAGATCGATCTATGCATCTTTTCTTCATGCACTTTACCCACAACAATGTTAATGAAGGATCTTGTGAGTTCCTCTAGTCCTTTCTGTCAATATGACTAAGTTGTGCAACTTCTATAATAAAGCTTGTCGTCAAATTCGGGGAAAATTCAGGTTTTATAAGGTCTTTTCTTCGAGCTAAACTAATTTTTCTTCAGAAGTTGTTTGACCTTGTTTTCGCAACTCGGTCATATTGGTAGGAAGACCTAGAGAAACGCACCTAGTCCGGAGTCCATTTTATGCATTATCATTTACAGAGTAGGACCGTGGACGTGGTACATTCCCAGACGAAAACAAGGTCAAGCAACTTATATACAACGAAAGGAGACTGCGACCACCTTTAATTTTTTTACAATTCACTTACATACTTGTAAGTAATATCGTAGACTTTTCACTGTGATTATCTTCACACTACTTTTAATTCATGGCATTCTTTTTTTCATAGACTTCCTTACTCTATCGTGTATTGACTGTCCAAGCACCGGAAATAGCAATCCCCTCTGGACTCTTCGCTACTGATGCGTTCAACATTACCACAACTAAACATCCAGTCTCGCATCAAAAAATTGACCCTCTTCTTACTACCAATCGGTCCATGTGCTCCAATCTTCAATTCCATGCAGACTCCGAACCAAATGACCAGTTGTCAGCATTTTCATCCTCCCTCAATCCAGCCGCGGCTTCTCAACGGCCTTGCTATGCACCTTGCCAATGCTTCAAACATCGCGTCTGGCTTGGCCAGAAGACGCCTCAGTTGGCCTGTCTTCATTTGTTATCCAGCTCGCTCGCCCTTCTCTTTACGATTGTCAGCTTCACTGTCGGCGAGGTTTGACACTCCTGAGAAAGCATGTCTGCCCTTGTTTTTATTATGCTTATCACAATCGTATACGTTTTATTGAATCGGTAACCTTGCCATTCTTTAGGTGTTGAAAAACCTGGAAGCTGAGTCCACATTAATTAGGTAATTGGATGCCATCGGATTAGCTTTGCTTCTCATCGCTACCGAGACAGCATCTAAAGGTGATATGATATATTTCAACTTCAATTCACGGTCTAAATGGCTCTGGATCCTACGGGCAGATGTCGATTTCATGGCAAGCCAGCCTCTTTGACGAATACCTCCAGCTTAACTAGAAATACAAGTCCGCCTTATCGACACTTCTTACGCTATAAACGTGAATCGTTAGAGGCTTTACTCTCCTTTTATTTCGTACGTACATTGTAGCCTCTGGGCGTTTTAGTTTCTAATCCCAGATTATGTTGAAACGGTCCTTCACTCTGGATAATAGCTGATTTTTAGAGTGTGTGGCGAAATGGATCAAGCCTTTTCTTCGCTTTATCTTGAGTCAAATGGCTACCTTTTCCTGTATGACTATACGATAGTCATACAGTCCTCACAGTGGCAAACAATTCAGTAACATTTTGACTTTAATATCGTTCACATTGCTACCTATAAATACTAAACCTTCCAATATGGACGTGAGCTCAGAGGTTTACTTTACTCTCACATTCGTTGTGTAATGAGGCGAAATCTATGCATAATGAGAACGTGGGCATGGGATTCGTGGAAAAGTGAAATTAATTGACAAGATGAAGCCTAT